TGTGGTTATTCTCTCCTTTGGAAAGAAACAAGACCAAGGATGGGGTTACTATAAACTCAATACAACTCATCTTAAGATTGAAACATTCATAACTTTTATCAAGTATGTGTGGTCCTTCTGGAGAAATCGGAAGGCCACCATAAATAACGACATCTAATTGTTTAACAACGGCTTAGTTTTTCTAGGTCGTAAATGCAATGAATATTCAAAATTATTAGCAGTTGAATGATATTCTTCTGAAACACGTATTTACCAATGTATTCAACAATTATAACTCTTAGAAGTTTATGAAAAAGGCTCATAAATTATTGATGATACGGCCCAAGAAATACAAGAATTAGAATCTCGATTATTTTCTCATATGGAATATAGATGGCAAGGTATGAGGATTCGAGGTAGAATTCGAAAACATATTACAGAAGAAGTCATGGATGCAAGATTTTTTGTCATGACCAAGGTCCGAAGTGGTAGAACTGTCATAGAGGCATTGACTCATCCTCAATCCCTCAACGGCCCACTAGTCTTGTCAACAGATGAATGTACTAAAATTGCCAGGGACTTTTTCAATGACTTTTTTTTATCAGAAAATAGGGATATGTCCTTAGATTTACGCTCTAGGGAAGTAGAGGATTTTCTTACCCCATTGACTAAATCACTATTATTAGAACAGAGGGAACAACTGGAGTTGCCCTTGACAAAAGAAGAAATATGGACAACACTTTTACTAATGAAGGAAGAAAAAACTCCTCTGATTGATGAATTACCTAAATAACTTTGGGAGACCTTGTGAGATTTTATTTTCAAAGATCTTATGGACTTCTATCAGACAGTATGGGATGCAGGTGAGATGGGAGAGATAGTAGGGCAAAGGCTGTTGACATTACTTTATAAGAAAGGTGATAAATATAATATCAGGAACTATCGTCCCATTACACTGCTAACTGTGGTTTATAAATTGATTTCAAAAACTCTTATTAATCGTCTGAATAAGTACATCGCGGATATAATTCATCCCTCTCAAACTGATTTGATTCAAGGAAGGAACATCCATGACAATATTCTCCTCATTAATGAGTTCATCAAGCTTTCTCGTCAATCCAGGCATAACGCAACCTTCATATTCATTGACTTTGAGAAAGCCTATGATCATGTTGACTGTTTTTTTTAAGACAAATGCCTATAAAAATTTAATTTTGACCCACGTTTTAGGAGATGGATCAATATCTTGCATAGGAATGTCACAACAAGAGTAATGGTTAATGGAAATGTAACACCCCCTAGCACACTCGAAAGATCAATGAGACAAGGTGACCCAATTGCACCCCTCCTCTTTGTGATCATTATGGAAGTCCTAGCTGCTAACTTAAGACATGACAAAGACATTACACGCATCCAGATTTCCTCTATCCCTGAGGAGGCGGTCCCAGTATGCTCTCTCTTCGCAGATGACCTCTCTCTGATGGTTGAGGCATCACATACGAACTTGGAAACTATCAAAAGGTTAATGGACACATTATGTAAACTCTCTGATAAGAAGGTTAATTAGGGTAATAAAACACTTGGATGGTGGATTCACCATTAAGGTGTGAGACCCGTTGAACATCCTCGTATTAAGTGGGTTCATCATAATGAACCAATCAGAATACTTGGAGAGTCTTTTTCAACAACAATCAAACCTACTACTATCAATGAAGGGATTCTACAACAAGCCAAGTTGAAACTCGATGTGTGGAAGGACAAACATACATCCTTAATTGGCAGAACTCTGGTAATTAATAATGTTATATTGGCCTCCATCTGGTATAAATCTGCTATCTGTGCCTTAGACAAGGGTACCCTAAAGATATTCCAACGACAACTAGCAACCTTCTTGTGGCGTGAGAATCATGAACGTGAAAACGTTATCAATAGAGTTGCTTGACTTTCTATAATCCAACCCACATCCAAAGGGGGCCTTGGGATCATTGATCCCCAAATCCAAGCCATAACTCTCTCCCTTCAATGGATCAAACGTCTCATCTTTAATCTATCACTCCTTGGATCCTCCTCGCCTGTGAACAAATAAAAAGGTTAGCCCCTTCGGTTCCTGCTGAGATAGATCCCCTTATGTGGCTAGAGAACCTCTCCTGGTCTCTGCCTAGAGGCTCTCCAAGGGATCCACATCAAGTGGAGCTCTCAGACAGACAAGCAGTAAGGAGAGATCTCTGTAGGGATCATTTTTGGATTACTTTAATTAAGAACTGGAGGAGGTTGCCTCTTCCAGATAAAGTACCCCCGACGAGATGGGAGGAGGTTTGTCAACAACCCTTATTCAATAATATGTTTATCAGAGTTGCTCAAGGATGTGTCCTTCACTGCATGGATGCCCCTTGGAAATGTTGGATTAATAGAGGAGTTATACGAGTTAAAGATCTATGGAACCACGAGAGTAGAGATTGGTGTTTGCCCACAGACCTTCATGATCGCTTACGGTACTGTCACCATCAAAGTGTGACCCTAGATAAAGTAATTGATTTAATCCCTCCGGATTGGATCAAAATATTGCGAAAGCGCCCCAAGCTTCTTGAAAGTGACTGGGTGGCAATCCGTCATAAAAAAGGGATACTTGATAACATAATTGAGATTCATAGTCCGGAGCAAATTCTCTTATCGATCTTTGATGTTCAAGATGATGAAATTCTTAATCATAGACAACAAGATGATATAAGATGGTGCACATATAAGCAACTATTCCGGATTAGAGTGTTGAAAGTTAAAGAGAAGTGGCTTTCCTTTAGGCCAGAGACGTCAATCTCTCACCTCCGCTTTGATCTGCAGAACTGGATTTGGTCCTCCCCAGGGAAACAGGGGCATTCACACCCTAGGAACTTACACACTCTCTCTGTCAAAGCCTCTTATAGAATGTTCCGCCCCATAATTAATTTAAAAGACCGTATTGAAGAACGATAGCATAAGAATTTCAACATCTGTAAGGACGAATTGAGAGGGATTAAGTGGGTCAAAACCTCTAGGACCAAACCAGCCAAGATAGCCTTACAATGACAAATCGTTCACAGATGCCTCCCTATGAATGACTGGATTATTGATAGAACTTCGTTAGAACCGAAATGCATAGCTCACCCATTGAATGCCCTGGGTCGCTCTGACTCTGGAGATAGTGGGATAGGATCTGGAATTGGCTGGGTACCACTCAACCCTGGCCGTGGGAATGGAAAAATCTCATTTCGGAAACCTGGCATCCCGACCAAGCGGATGAATTCACAACTAATCTATTCTTAATTGGAAGGAGAGCGATCATTTGGGCAATCTGGTAAAGAAGGTGCACCTATGAAATGGAAAGTGCGCGTCTGGATGGACCAGACTTTACTGATACTATCAAAAAGCAGATTCAAACAGAATTATCCATTAAATGGGAACACTTATAAAGGAAAAAATCCAACATTTATCCTTACAAAATGAGATCTGGCACCACAGTAATCAATTCAACAAAAGTTGGTTGGAGGGGGAGTAGGGAGGGAGGTTGGGGAATGTAATATGGGAAGGAGGACACGAGAATGCTCATGAGCCTCTTCAAAGGAATTACCAGTTGGTTTTCAATGATTGGAGTACTCTCGATTTTGCTATTTCTCTAAGACCTCTTTCTAAATTCCCTGATTTTTTTTTTTCTCCAAATAACTGTCTTGTGCCCGCTGCGTGGTATGGATATATCCTTTGAAAGTACAAGAGTATGGTTTCCTTCGCTGATGGTACTATGGTTACAACTGGTTGAGTGCTTGGTATTCAAGTCTTTCTGGCGCTCAGATTGGGTGAAGAGACACAACTAGTTCATTGGTATTAGCCTTGGGGGAAACTGTATCTGAAGTGCAACTGTTTTGGTCTATTTGGACTTTCTATACCATTGTATCCAAGGGGACGTTGGACCCGCTTTCCAGCAGGTGTTGCTCCCCACCAATAGATTGGAGCCTCTCGTTAGTTAGGAAGGAGTGTATGCTCTTATCATCACCCCTTTCTGATGACACGAGCAAGGTTCTTAAAAAAAAAATAAAAAAAAAAAAAAATAATAATAAAAAAAAATTGGGGGCCCGATTGAGACTTGTTGGGGTTACTGCGCCCGGACACCAGGCCGCTACTCGAAACTCAGCGACAACGAAGTGTTTGATTACCTGTTGTTGGGAACATCCCTGTTCACTTAGGATAAGGGGACGCTAGGAGTGACTGCAACCCCTGAGCAGAGTGACAACGATGCATGGCACAGACTCGGATTTCGACGCACTTTCAAGATCACGCACTGTCGAATTGTTCATCGCTTCTCTAGCAAGTACACATCCCGACATACTTTTAGGATCGCGCTATGTCAGATCATTCGTTGCACGAAACTTGCACTCACCTGCAGATCCGCGTCTTCCTTTTTTTGCATTTGGACTGCAGAAATTAACACTGGCAGCACGTGAGCTTGTTTTGTTGAAAAACCGCATGGGGGGTTTATGGGGGTTGGTGAGGGGTCCAAGACCCATGTTCTTTTTAGTTCTTCCATGCATAGTCGTGCAGTGGAAAATATGCAAGTCCTATAGTCCAATCGCTGCAATCGCAGAAAACCAGCTCCCATGAAATATCCAAAAAACCACATTAGGGGTTTATAGGGGTTGCCGAGGGTTCCAAGAGCCATGTTCTTTTAGTTGTACCACTCATAATCTTGTAGTGAAAAAAATGTAAGTCCGACAATCCATTCACTGCAGCCGCGGGTACCCCATCTCTCACAAATTCGGTCCCCGGAGAACATTGAGGGTCTGCCTCCGTCACATCTTCGGTTCAAACCTTCGCGCTGACCACTTCTGGAGCCGCATTCGTACTTGCATTGTGCGCGCAACAACCCCTCTGAACCCCCCTTGCACTGTTCACTTGCACTTTGCACGCAATACCCACTTTTTCATCAATGTTAGATAGACATAAAATAAATAAACAGGCCTCTTCGACCCCGCAACAACCTTTTTTATCACCAGTGCGGTTCGACGGTGTGTGAAGCTTATGGGCTGCCATTGTCGACTACTGTGGCGGACAGAATTGTTGTCGCGGGAGTCGACACAAAAACGGTTTAGATGAACTCCCACCAGTAAAATCAATGCAGTCGCAGGAATCCGATCTCTGACAAGTTCGGATCCCGACGCACTTTGAGGATCACGCTCTGTCATATCCTTCATTGCACCCGCCTCAGCCGCCTGCAAATCCACACCTACCTCATCCCGCAATTCAAGTGCAGAAGTTAGCGTTGCCAGCACATATGCTCGCCTCATTGAAATGCCGTATCGGGGCTCTAGGGGGGTTGTTGTGGGGTCAAAGAGGTATGTTCTTTATATTCCTGCCGCACATAGTCTTGCAGTGACATAAGTTCAAGTTTGATGGGATCGGGACTTCCAAGAAGGAGAATTTGCCCAACAGTCCCGCAACTACACTGTTGGGGGATTCCCTGTTCTCGCAAGTTTGAATCCAGTCGAACTTGAAAATTTTCATTATACGCAGGAAAGGTCAACTGTCGGACGCACTAGTGCAAGCGCCCATTCATTGCTTGCTGCGAACCACTTACTACCAAAGTCGTCGTGCCTTTGGGTTTCTACCTTGCCAATCCATAAATATCTAGTGAAGAATTCCCTGTGTAGACCCCTATATGTGCCGGGTAGTAAGAACCAGGCTATGGAAAACGAATAAGTCTTAAAATTGCATTCCCATCTGGAAGTCCTGAGTTGACCCCGACAAGCTCTTCCGACAGTTCGCCTTTCCAACAGTCCCGCACTGCATTCCCTAGAAAATGAAGTCTCACTTATCGTGAGAGCTTTGGGGGTTAATATGTGTGGCATGTTCAAACCAGAAGCGAACTTTGGTAGACGTTGTAGTGCTTGTTTCTTAGAACGAGCTTAGAACCAATGGTCGCATTATAGACACTCCTTGCATCGTCTACGAGTCTACGGGAACGGACAATCCGATTTAGTGATTGCCAGTCAAATTGATGGGGTTGACAAGTGGCGTAAGGTAGAGCAAGTGGCATGTTGTGTGCATGATGCCATTGGTAAGTCATTGGGTGATGTTGCGACGTTTGTAAGGATAAAATATATTATGTGTTCTCGAACGTGGCGACGAAGGGAGAGCCAGAAACCCTACCTTTTGGGTCATCAATGAATGCCTTGTACGGGTTTGGTTCTCATTTGACGCGGACGACGCTCATAGATGCTTTTGTAAACGGTAGCGTTTTTCAAAAGTTTAGATCATGGCTGCTCGTAGCATTAGACTTACTTAAATCTTGAGTTTACAAACTTTTCGGAAGTCTAAATGCAGTTTTCAGTTTTCAAATGAAGTTCATACTACACTTTCTCATGATTTACATAATTTGAACCTCTTCGTGAGATTGCCTCAATTCTGTACGTAAGTTTTGAAGTCGAACCGGACAATGGCAATTCAAACATTCAAGTTGGGGTTCAGTTCTTTTATCTTTTATTAATTTTTTGAATTCAATAAGTTAAATTGTCACGTGCGGTTCGGAGGGTGGGAAAACACAACTAAGTCTCGACCCCTTTCTATGATAATTATTGGAGTTCTTGGATTTACTGTATGGGCTTAAGATGAGTCTCTCTCGTGGCAACATGAGAGTTCAATCGCTTTGCTATATGTTGGAAACGACTTAGAGTTGTAAGTTTCCAATTCATTGGTGAATCAGCAGGCTCGCCATAGTCTTATCGAAGAGGAGCCTCAGAGAGTAAAAGCGAAGCAACTTTTGTTTTGCCGCCTCTTAGGGTTGCACAAATAGCATGGCAAGTGCCTTAGCGTAAGCTGGCAAGAAAGTTGAAGATATAGTCTATACCAAATACAACATTAAATTGTCTTCATGATTACGATGTTTATCGAAGTGCAACGAAATCCGTACTCAAACCATCTTGTTTACAGTGTGCTTGCCTGGACTCTTCATTTGAGTTCCAATTTATGTCTATCACAATGTCATGTAAAATAGGTTCGACCTAATGTTCATATAAAATTGATCCGAATGCGATGAAGTCCAGAGTTGAACTTCAACATTCTCGTTCAGTGTCCCATTGCCTTGATTGTTCGCTTGAGTTTCAATTTATGACAACGATATGTCAGTTATGTCTTTTAAGTTACAAAATTATGAATTTGAAAGTGTGATGAAATTCATACTTAAACCATCATGTGATTGCCTCAATTTATTAAGTTACACAATTCGAACCTCTTCGTGTGATTGCCTCAAGGCCCTCAACTTTATACTTAAAACACTAGTACCTCGCCCTGCTTGAGGATTTCGACGCGACCGTTAACGCGCCGTGTCGTGCAGGGTACCCACGGGGGTGCGACCGGTAGCCCAAAAAAAAGGGGCGTGAAAAAAAAAAAAAAAAAAAAAAAAAAAAAAACGACGACGAAATACAATAGACGGGCGCGACATCAACGGGGGAAGGGAGGGGAAGAGAGAGAGAGAGAGAGAGAAGATAATACCTCGCTCTCTCTCTGTTGAAATGAGAATGAACCTTTCGCGATAACGCGACAGGTTCATTCGCATCTCAACAGAGAGAGAGAGAGAGAGAGGCGTCAGCCAGTGTCTAACGCTGAGTTTGGTGCACCAAACTCAGCGTCAGACACTGGCTGACGCCTCCTTCTCTCTCTCTCTCTCTCTCTCTCTCTCTCTCTCTCTTGAGACACTGGCTGACGCCTCATTCTCTCTCTCTCTCTCTCTCTCTCTTTCTCTCTCTCTCTACGTAGAATGAATCTTCCGCGATAACGCGGAAGATTCATTATAGTTTCAACGCAGAGAGAGAGAGAGAGAGATACATTAGAACTAGAATGAATCTTCCGCGTTATCGCGGAAGATTCATTCTACGTAGAGAGAGAGAGAGAGAGAGAGAGAGAGAGAGAGAGAGAGAGAGAGAGAGAGAACGAGGCATCAGCCAGTGTTTGACGCCGAGTTTGGTGCACGGAACTCGGCGTCAGACACTGGCTGACGCCTCGTTCTCTCTCTCTCTCTATCTCTCTCTCTATCTCTCTCTCTCTCTCTCGAATGAATCTTCCTCTTTATGGAGGAAGATTCATTCTCATAGGAAAAAGTGTAATTTTGTTTTCTTTTCGTTTTTTTCCCTTTTCAGATTATTGTCCTCGTTTTTTTGTGTTTTTTTCTTTTTCTTTTTTCCTTCTGCACTACCGGTAGTCCGAGGCTCGGGAACGACCGGCCTACCGGTAGCCTGAGCCACAGCCCTTAAGACCCGGTAAGTACTGGTGGTTTAAGTTTTGATGTCCGACCGGACAATGACAATTCAAGCATTTAAGTTGGGGTTCAATTATTTTATCTTTGATTATTTTTTTGAATTCAATAAGTTAAATATTGAATTGTCTTTATGATTACGATGTTTATCGAAGTGCGACGGAATCCTTATTTAAACCATCTCGTTCAATATGTGATTGCCTTGATTGCTCGATTGAGTTTCACTTTACGCATGTCACAATGTCATGTCAAATGCGTCCGACTCAATGCTCATACAAAATTGGTCGAAGTGTGATGAAATCCGGAGTTCAACCTTCTCATTCAGTGTCTCATTGCATTGACTGTTCACTTGAGTTTCAATTTATGACAATATCTTGTCAGTTACGTCTTTTAAGTTACAAAATTTATCGAAGTGTGATGGAATCTAGAGTTCAACCTTCTCGTTCAGTGTGTGATAGCCTTGAATCTTCACTTCAGTTTTGATTTATGGCCTGTCAATTACGTTCTAGGGTTTCACTACTTGTATCCTAAGTTTCATTCAAGTCTAAAATATAATGATTTCAACATGAAATTAATAGCAAGTGAGTACCAATTTAAAGTATAATGTCCTATTTTAACGAATGACATGTTAGCTCATCCATATCGAGTTGATGTCTATCGCGCAAGTGATCTTCAACGAAGAGGAAGATCTCCAACTCCGCCTGCGAACAACATCGGCTCCGCGGCGATCCTACCAGGTGGTGGTGATACCGGACTATATCGCGCGAGAGGGAGAAAAAGCGGTTAGCATCGCTGACAGGAGGTCGTTGCGGCATCCCTCATCCTATCCCAAACCAGCAGCCCCGAGGACCCTTAGGAAGACGCCCAAGAAGAGATGTCGTCTGCCATCGCCGGAGGCGCAAGGAAGTCGAGTGGGACCAGGAGAAGAGGTGGATCAGGTCGGGTGTGTGTGGAAGCCAGATCTCGTTCCGAAGAGCAAGGCAACACCAATCGAGGGACCTCCACCGGGAGAAGGAGCAGGGTCAAGCAGATTTCGGATACACCGAAGCCCTCCGGACCCGATACCACCACCGCCACTTCTTCCCGATCTCAATCTTGATGAAGCCGACCCGTCAGCACCAGCTGGAGGAGGAGGAATAGGAGTATCATGTCTCGCACCCAGACCCCCCATCCTCGCATGACCTTTTCGCTTCCGCCAACCACCTAGGCGTGCCCCAATTATTGACCTTAGTAGTTCCTCCGAGCCGGACTGTCCACCCGACGGATGTCTCGTTCATGGTGGAGCCTGCAACAATCAGGCTCGAAGCGATTGAGGGGGCCCCACGTCCTGATCCAGCATGGGAGCCATATCTGGAGCCGCCATTTAAAGGATGCGTTGCTTCCAGGCTAGCAGGAATGCTCATTTACGAGGCCAACGGTCGAATGTAATGTACCATTTCCTCGTCATCGCGGTGCTCAAGAGGGAGCGAAGGCCGTATACCGAGACCCATCTGGTGATGACGGGTTCCGAGAATCGCATGGTGTGGCGACGGGTCGTACGGGCCATTGCGGATCTGGCGCCACGTGTTCTGGCACACGTACTGGGGGCCTTTCTCTACCCCTTCTTCATCCAACACCACTTCAACGAAGTGGGGGCGCCAACAACTCCGGCTGTGCTGGCAGCCTTTCTTCCTCCTCTTCCTCCCCTTCTTAATCCTGAACTCGACCATTTCCTTTGAGCCTCTTCTTCTTCTTTTTGTCCCCTTCTTCTTCTTCCGTTCTTAATTCAAAAGGTCGCGTGGCAAAAACACGCAGTGTATTAAAAAAAAATTAAAAAAATCGATTGGACCAGCTGACGATGAAGGGCCCGCCCGATCAGGTGTACAATGGGAAGGC